ACAGATTCAACTTTTTGACCACATCCCTGACCGAAGCATTCGGATTCCGCTAAAACGCTTTCGAGAGTTGCTTGTGATCCTGATCACTAATAGAACATCCATTCTGACCGCATTTCTCCTTCCGTTCGATGCTCAGAGTTTCGTAGTAACATTTGATGACACGACTCACCGTTGACTGCACGATTCTGAGTTGTTTTCCGATGTCCCGATGAGAGAGTTGAGGATTTTCCAGGTGCTTTCGCAAAATCAATTCGCGACTTTGCTTTTCGGATGACGCCTTTTTTCCAACTTTCGAATGGTAATGGGTAATTTTCTACAGCATTTTTTCCGTGATGCAATTTGATGTGGGACACCCTTTACATCAACAAAATTCAGTAATTCTTCGTTTTCTCGGATAATATCGACAGCATCAAGGAGACTGTAACATGCTCGTCCTGAAAAACCATATGTTCACCGTTGATGTCGTACACAGCAAAAAAATAATTTTGATATCACATCAAAGTGGATGCACTACAATCATGACGAAAATTTCATGTAATTTTTATGACCACATAAATAAACAAATGCAGTAAAAGCAGCGTAATGTCAGTTCATGCATTGTATTAATGATAATTTTGTCTTTTTTGGCAAGTAATATTACACCATATTTTCGACATGATTGTAGTGCATCCACTTTGACGTGATATCAAAATTATTTTTTTGCTGTGTATGTGAGCCTTTTCGATCCATAAATCTGCCCAGTCTGGACTTTGTTTCTCCACTGCTTGAAAAACCATGTTCACGATCCCAAGTTTTATACGGACGAATGTTTTCAGAAGCTGTATGAATCACGTTTTATTTAAAGCTACATTCTGAAACACTGCTGTTTTACCAGAAGTTGATGCTTTTTCGACTAGAAACTTTGACACAGCTGCTTCTAATGCCATTGGTGGAGAATTCTTTTCTTCCAGAATATCTTCTGAACGCTAGCGGCGCCGGTGGTGTAGTGGTAGCGTGATTACCTCTCACCCCAGCAGGCCTGGGTTCAATCCCAGTCGGCGCCGCCGGGATGTTCTGAGGCATAACATCTCTGATCACGCCTTCCTTCGGGGAAGTAAAGCCGTTGGTCCCCGGTTCATGAGTTGATGGGTCGATAGATAGGTAGGGTCGAGGTGTGGGAGCTGCCTCCCTGGCGTCGGTAGCATTGGTGCTCAGCACGGAAAACAAGATCGATCGAAAACAAATCAAGGAAAAAACAAATCTTCTGAACGCTCAGTGATAGTACAAACGTGATTCTTCCCTCGTCTGATTTTCGTTAGACAAGTATTACACATGTTTATGACTTTAATAGCGCTTGAATTACACGGTTTCGAATTGCCTTGCTTTAAGTTACTAGGGACTGTTTCCGGTAGATTTTACCGTACTTTATCTGGGAAGCCTCACAGACTTCAGAAGAACACTTTGAATTTGTTTTCGTACGCTTAGAATAGTTAAACTTGTATTTACGCAGGACCACTTTTTCTACTGTTTCCATTTACAGTGCTGCAAAAAATCAGACACTTGGCACATATTGAGGACGGACAATATTGCGATGATTTTGTACATTTAGGCTCGTCATTCTCAAATTACGCTTTCGATTTCGCTCACACCAATCCCACCTTGGAACATATATAACGTTTGGTTTCCATGACATTTCTTCTTATGTTTACTTTTGACTCCTTTGTTTCAAACCAGCTGGTCAATCCTTTTCCATATGTTTACTTCTAAGCCATTTGTTCTCGAGCTTACAGCTGGTCATGTTTACATAACAAATCCAGCTGGTGAACCTGTTTGCGCGCGAAAACCACAAAGAAATGCTGAAATAGTAAGAGTTTCAAGAGCCACAGAAGATTTTGGTAGCTTCCACATTTCGTCAAAAAAGTCTTAATATTCATTAAAACCACAATACCACTCGCGAGCATCAATATCACTTAAATAGTGATCTCGAATCACTTAACGTATTGGACTGGAACATTGGACATTCGAAAGACAAAAAATGTACACTTTTTTTTTTTGGTTGATTGCATGATTATCCATGATAAAATTTCAATCTAAACAGAGTGCGCTGCAACTCATAAAAGGCACTGGTGTGTGTTGCTGCGCTGTAGCTAATGACTTTTGTTGCCTATGTCTATTTGTGTTCACGCGTTTACGCGTTTGAAACATGGAATTTCATGTAATGGTGCATGTAAAATAAGCATATGTGATGGCTGTTTGTAGTGAGATTAATGCGTCTTTAAAAGGGCGTTACTCGAAAATGTACCCTACGATTTTTTTTTTAATTTGTTCAAGATATGCAGGATGATCTAACGAATCGACTTTTGATGGAACGCAATTTTCGATAATAACCGTCAGAGGAGCACCGTCTACATAGATGCTTGTTCACTTTAAGGGCTCCATGCAATTGTGTTGCACAAGTGATTAAATTTCGTTTCAAATTTAGCTAATACAAAAATTTGCACATGTTCGTCACTGTCAGCATTGTCACTGACAATTGTCATGGTTTGCCTTGACGATGACTGTTAGCTGAAATAAGTCCCCAAAGCAGAATTTTGAATATCGCCGTCTATTGTCGAGACTTTGCAGCACAGGTTGTACACGAAACGAAAATCAATTATTTTATCTATGTGTTTCACTTATACATTTTTGCCAAAAATCAGCCTTATACATTCCATAAGACAAACTACATAGGTCCTATAAGAATGCATAAAAGGTATGTGTGACCGCTTATACATTTCATTTGACACATGATCTTCATTAACTTTTTGCAAGGCGTCTGCTTATTAGTTGACTTATACATTTTATGAATAATCAGCAATAGAAATTTGCCAAAAAGAATAAGGAGATTTCTATCCGTGTAGTTGTTCAAACATTGAAATTCAGTTAGTAGGTGATTGTCATGCCAATGCCTGTTGTATTGTAATGGAATTTGGGTGTTTTGTTTTGGGCACATATTCATCTGTCAATTTACATTATTTCGTCATTATTTTTTTTTTCGCATACCTATCTTTTTTGATCTGCTGTAAAACTGATTGTAGCAAGAAAAAACTTTTTGGTCATAGCCATAGCAACAACATATTAAATTTGTTCAATATTAGAACATGTAGAAGCAAAGTTAGACCGACATAAGTAATATTTGCGCAGTTTTATGTTTTGAGACAATGAAACGTACCGTACCGGAGGTTTGATGATCCCCATTGATTTCCGTCACTTTTTTAAATCCAACATGGTTTCCGTTGGTTTCAGTAAAACTATCAAGTACCCTACAATATGGGTATTTTTGGAACTGGGATGACGTTTATAGGCTGAAAATCCATTGCCGGCGTCATTTTTAAATGCAAGATCGATTATCGACATCTACACATCATTCCGGTGTAAAAAATACCTTATTGTAGGGTACTTGACAGTTTTTCCTAAAATATGCATATTGCAAATACAGTTTTTTTTTCAAAAATCAATGGCTGCCATCTTGGATTCAAAAATGGCGATATATGTCAGCCCTGTTTCGAAAATACCCATATTGCAGGGTATTTGACAGTTTTTTTTCTGAAATCGATGGCCGTCATCTTGGATTTACAAATGGCAGCGGACATCTATTTTCAATCTCTATACGTCATAACCGTTTCGAAAATACGCATATTATAAAATTATTTGATTTGTCTTGTCTTATATGGGAATTTTCAGTGACGACAGCTGATGATGATTATCGGAGATTTTCGCTATTTCATATGATCATGATCTGTAACACAAATGATAGTCGCATTATCAATGCCTTCATCAGAAAACATAACAGATGTTCTTCCCAAAATACCAACTGCACTGTTTGAATACATTCCAGAATAAAATATGACAAGCAAATCACATTAAAATATTTTTTGTGATGTGGAAAATATTTCGAATCTGCTTAGGGCATCTTTAGTGGTGGTCTAATCTTGATCCAAAAGTATGTCACATTTTAACCAGCTAAAATGAAAAAGATCAAGCCAATATAGGTACATAGATCAAACTGTGTGCGAGTCAAAACCAGCTAACACCCTGATGTCGTGGCCAGCCTTTTTTTATCTCGTGCGCATTCGTACACGGTTTTTATAAGGCAATTACCGTGAAATTCACCTCCGATGACTGTCAACGTAAGTGATGTGTGGCTTTAACAAAAAGCCTTGAACTCCTCGTCCTCCTGCTTCTCGTACTTCTCAGTGAAATTATAATAAAAACCTGTATTTATTGAAATTTATCTGGTATGATGTCGCTTGCTGGATTTTGGCCCAAGTCAGAAACTGGACACTTCCCTGGAGGTACCAGGAACATGCCCGAATATGATCAATGTGGTTCTGGGCACTATACTTGACTAAAACTGGTCTTGTTTTTTTTTTTAATTTGTGAGGTTTTATGTATCAAATCACAGGTTTTGAACCAAGTCAAAAACTAGCCACTTCCATGGGGGTTCCAGAAACATGCCCGGAAATGGCAAAGGCACTTTATTTTACTTTCATTGACCTTGTTTTTGGAATCTAATGTGATTTGCTGTGTCGCATAATGGGTTTTGGATCAAATCAAATACTGCCCATTTCCTTGGAGGTGCGGGAACATATCTCAAAGGGGCCAACATGTTCCTGGGCACTATATTTGACTACCATTGATCGTCCGGGCATACATGAATGGAACATCAACATCGATCAAATGTTCAATTAGTCAGCGTTTAATAGACTTTATTACTTCCTTAACCCTTTCCTTCCCAGATGGTTTTTCATTGTTTTGAGATGCAAAAATGTGTTTTTGAAAAAAAGTGCTCGAACAAAAGATGTTCCATAGAGTCTAATATTATGGAATCTTTATATTTAAAAAAAAATATATTTCAATATTTACTAAGTTGAATTTTCAAGAATATATATAGACGAGCATATGAAGGATGATAAATAAGTGCTGACTATTTGATAATATATAAAGTTTGATCCACCCACATTCTATTCCATTCCCTCCAGAAACTCCAAATCTTCAAATCGCGCCGAAGCTCCGAGTCTTACCATTCGCGCCGAAGTCGGATGAAGTTCCGTGCATGCCAGATCGCCGTCAATGCCATCCTTCTGATTGGACTTGCCATCGGTCTCGCATCGTATTTGAGCAAGAATCCACCGATCACATACGTGAATCAAACCACCATTGCCCGAACCATCAACAATCGACTACCACACGTTGACACGACACTTGTTCCTGCCAAGATGGACCGCAACCCGGCCCCAGGGGTTTGTCTACCGGTGATCGTCAAGTTCTGCCAGCAACACAAAGTTCCCTACAACTATACCGTGTTTCCCAACTATATCGGACACTTTGGCCAACCGGAAGCCCAAATGGTAAGTACTCGGTTGTCCCTTGAACTGCCCCACTACCCCACAGCTCCAACCTGTCACTTACTGGTTGTGTTTGTGATTGCTTGCTTCACGTTCACTCTGACTCACCAAGAGCGATGATTTCCAGGAAATTGATCTTTTTGAGGCGCTGGTCGATGTCCAATGCTACGAGCTTGTTCCACTGTTCTTATGTTCCCTGTTTGTGCCTAAATGCGGTGTCACCGGGTCAACGGTGACTCCGTGTAAGAGTTTGTGTATGGGTAAGTGTGAAGCCAGATTCTTAGCGATTTTGTGTAATTTTAACGCTGATTGGTTCCTCCAGAAACTATGCGGCGGTGTAGCTTCTTTTTCGACGTTTTCGGATTGGAGCTGCCTGAATATCTGCGGTGTAGTTTGTTCAACGATGCGACTTCCGACCAGGATGAGTGCGTTGGGATGGCTGAGTTCAAGGAGGCCCAGCTTCGGGCGAGTCAACCTGTTAGTTGTCCGGGATTTTTTTGCGACAAGGATCGCTGCATACCGAATGATTGGCGATGTGATGGACACGTGGACTGTCAGGATCAGACGGATGAGTCACACTGTGATGTTTGTGGAGATAATGCGATTTACTGTGGTGAAGGACGCTGCATGAGCCAGAAGCACGTATGTGATGGCGTGGTAGATTGTCCGTACGGACAGGATGAGAGAAATTGCAGTAAGTTTGATGGTTTTGGGTTAGGTGCTTAGGTTTTGGTTAATCTTTAATGGCTTATCTATCTTTCAGTGCGGCTTAGTGAGCGTAATGGAGACTTGGGTCGAGGAACGCTGGAGGTGTACAAAGCTAATCTCAAACAATGGGCACCTGCTTGTGTGAAGAATTGGGATCCGGCTGCTTCACCGACTACGATTTGCTCAATGCTTGGATACAGTTCGGTGAATTCTAGCCGTACTACGATGCGTGGATCCAATCGAACCCTCGTTGGAACGAAGGATGCCTCATCCTTGTGGCGGATGCTTCAGAAAAAGAGTACTACCATGCTCAAAGAGTTCAACAGCTGCGATGGGAAGACGAGGTACCCAGTAGCAGAGTTGACATGCTCTAATTTCGGTAGGTTTTTACTTATTGATGATGACGTACAAGGTAGCATTTGTTATTGTCTATTGCAGCTTGTGGTAAAGTCCCGAACAAGAAACATCGCAAGCCTCAAACGCGAATAGTAGGTGGATCCACATCTAAGCCGGGAGATTGGCCTTTCATTGCGGCCATCCTTGGTGGACCGGAAGAAATCTTCTACTGTGCTGGCGTCTTGATTGCCGACCAATGGGTTCTGACAGCATCACATTGTATTGGGAAGTAAGTAACGTTAATCGATAACGTCAAAGCGCGAAAAGTTAAATTAATTGCAACCATTTCCTCATCAGTCACACCACGAGAAGTATCAGTGATTGGACAATTCAGCTCGGTATCACCAGACGTCGCTCACATTCATACTACGGCCAGAAGGTGAAGGTTAAGGCGGTGATTCCGCATCCCCAATACAATCTGCTCATCCCACACGACAACGATATTGCGCTGTTCCAGGTACTGTGCTGCAAGTCATGGCCGAAAATGTCTCTTTTATAAATGTTTCCCATAATGAAAAGCTTATTGGCTCACTCGCTGTCCTTTCTTTCATTCTATCTGCACTGTTCCGCCCCACAGCTTGCCACTCGGGTTGCCTTCCACGAGCATTTACTGCCGGTATGTCTTCCACCGCTGCACATCCACGATATGGCGCCCGGAACCAACTGCACCGTAGTAGGCTGGGGAAAACGAGAAGACAGCTGTAAGTATTCAACATCTTTATTTTATCCTTATTCCATGTACATATTAGCTATCCGGAGGGAGTGTCGGACGATAGAACCAACGCATCACAGTGTGCGATGAATGCATTTTAGTAGAGAAAATAATGCGGAAGAAATTTGTTTGTGTCTTGTTCGATACACTGGGAAAAGTTGGCCGGAACAAACAACCCTACTCCCATCCGGGAAATGCAAGATTATATTAGGGGCTGTTCATAAACTACGTAGACAGTTTTTTGGGATTCTTGACCCCCCCCCCCTGCGTAGACAATTTTCCATACAAAAATTTTAAAATTTATATGGGCCGTGGATAATTGTCAACCCCTCCTCTAAACTGTCTACGTAGTTTATGAACAGCCCCTTACAGATTTGATTAAAAAGTATTCAGACTTTGTAATGTTTTAACGCATGAACAGACTCTGTAATGTGGTTTATTGTAATGTTTATAATATAAGTTTGTTTTCAGAATGCACTATTGCTTGAAAATCATGCAAATATTCATTCTTGAAAATGGTGCTTGTACACTACAGTCTATTGTACCTAAGAACTGATATTATATTTGTTATAAGAACACTTGCAGAGGACGTAAGAAATCCACACTTACAGTTGATGTCCATGCCATTTGTTTTAAGTGTATCTTTAAAAGGTTTTGAAAACTTAATGCAGGTTCTGGAGATTTTCGCCGCCTTGTGAAAGAATTTCAAACTAAACAAACTTTTTTACCTATGTGAGCTGAACAACATTGCTCAAGACAGTTTCCTTCTTTCTGATCAGAGTCATGATCACATTATATTCCAAAAATGAACTTTTCTCTGCACACAAGCATCAACAACTGTTTCAATTTCAAACCAAAGTGGTTATCATCGAGTGCTTGGTTTAGTGACAAATATTTGAAAGAACCGAAGAAATACAGTTCGCTAAACATCAAGTTTCTTTACAATAAACAAAGCATTATTGATCTATAAATAAATTATTGACATAGGCATAGCTATGAGGTTAGGCTAGGGAGGGGGGACATGGCCTAAGCTGACAAGACATAAGCCATCGGGAGTATCTTAGTACTTTACTGGTAAAAGTCTTACCAATTATTTATCGATAAAATTTAAACAAGAAACATTTTAATATGTTTGTTCGACCAGCATCCTGAGAGTCGATCGTCGAGATTATCGCAAAAACATTTATTTCCTACGATGTGGGGGAGGTAGCTCATCGATTCTTCCGGTTCGCCTCCTAGCATCGTGCTATAAGGTACCAGGCGATAACCAGGGTAGTTGATCGATAGCTCGATGACGTCATTTCGTTGGCGTCTGCTATGGGAAATTCTCATAGCAGGCGTTGACGATGGGACGTTGTCGAGTTGTTGAATAGCAACTATCGTGGTAACTCACCGATTACCTGTCGATCTGCCAAATTTGGAAAGACGTCTGCATTGAATTGTCTCATATAATAATATTCCGCCCACTATATCACACGAAATTGCGAGTAGTTGAGTGGAATGGAGATAAGTTAAGCATTGGGTACAGGACCAAGTCTCCCCTGGGTGGTGCCAGAAGATGAGCGCAATAGAATCATCAAGTTGCCATAAGGCACGGAATGAGACTATTGCATGGCTGGGTAGTCAAAGTCTTCCATTCGTTAGTCATTTCAGGTGGATTAGAACAGGTTTAGGTTTAGGGTGGGCGTTGGCCAGATTTGGATTTTTCAGATATAATCCTAAATAGGACCTAGATTATTTAATACACTAGTAACCTCAACTTCTGTCACAATGTTTCATTGTGACTAATCAACACTCAATGGGTAAAATATCAAATTTGCGGTAAATTTGAAAAAAAGGGAGCTTGGAGTGTAGAGTGCACTGCCCACTGGACGATTCTGAAGCCTGACCAAGTGAGTGGGTTACGGGTTTATTTGATTGTACGTCATTTCCAAGTTATATATAGATACATTCATACCATTGGCATTTTGTATTTGAGATAAGACAGAAACAGGATGCGGAGGGCCCGCTTAGGGGGAGCGTAACCCATGTTATGGCTTCCATTTATTAAATAGTTCAGATAGGCTGGAAATGATAGGTTCATGGTGAGAAAATGTACCATATGGTGCCCGTTCACTGATCAAAATTAGATTCAAATCGTCAGGCCCTGCCCTGGAATAAGGGAATTGACGATGATTTGTCAAGTTTCATTTTGCATTTGCATATAATTGTAAGTTTAGGTTTGCTCTGGTAATTGTAAGATAGATAGTTTGCCTAAATTGAAACATTGAGTTAAACATGACGAATCATACCTCTAAAATAGTAGTAGTTACAGTGCCGCATTATCTAACTTTTGTTTAGTTTGTTTACATATAACTAATACTAATACCTCCTTGTTTTCTCTCTAATTTGTCTACTATGTCCCACCATCACGATGAGAGATGAGCTACCGTACATGGTACACGCTCCCAAAATAGTATGCCGCAAGTAAGTATATCACAGAGGCAACTAAAGATCCAGAAACAAAAACCGGAAACGCTGAACGGCAGATTGGTTTACAGTGGTCGACCAGGGTGTGTGCTGATAAATTACAAAATTACAATTACATCATTATTCCATACATCAGCTTGAATTACGTTGATCGATATTACATTTTTTGCTGTGCACTACACCACCGGAGCCAGCAAAGTTCAACAATCCATCGTTGCTTATGCCTTTGTTGTCGTTTGGAACCAGTTTTGCGAGGTAGGTGACGATTGTGCGTATTTCTCGCATAAATTTTGAAAAGGGCCTAGCCTGAACAATACGTAAAGAGCAAATTGAAACATTGTACGTCGCGTGAAAGTGGAACTTAATGAAGGCCTAAGTACTTTTTCGTAGTTTTTAGTTTTCGGATTTGAAAGTTCGTCGGTTACAGTGGCCTGCTTACTGAGCAGAAAAACGCGGTCCCAGGTCCTTACATATCAAAGAGATTTATAGTAAAATCGCTTGTGTATCGTGTATTTTGCGAAACTCGTTGTTGTCGTTGGTTCCGGGTTTGAATGGATACAAAAATTAGAGCAACGGTATTATGTGATATGAGGGGCTCGGTGGCCTTAGAGCAACCGTTTTTGCTTACTGAGCAGAACATCATGAGTCTAATCTCAGGCCCATCCACAATCAAGATTCGTCAATCGTTTTATTTGTTAATATGACTACATGGTAATAACAGCAACTCGGTGATTAAAAAGGTGCTCGTCTGCCTAGTGGCAAACGTTTTTGCTTACTGAGCAGAAGACCGTGGGTTTAATCCCAAGCTCCTTCGCGTTATATGATCGTTAGGACATCAATTCAGCTTATCGTTTACCAAAACGAACCCTGCTGCAAACCCAACCCTCTTATCCAACATCCCAGTGATTCCTCGTGGAAGTGCAGAGGTGTTCTCGGCTTCCATCAAAGCGAGTGTCATGTCAACACAATCCTTCCCATTCCTTTCTTGACCTGTGTTCGGGCGCGGCCGGCGCTGGTATTGCTTAATTTAAGATCACCAGTTTTTACACATTGAGGATGATTGCTAGTCCCAAGCATCGTCTATTGGTTCTCTGTGTAATTACAGCTGATCTGGCAATAACAGAGTAGCAACCGTGGGCGGTCAATCAAGCTCAAGCTCAAGCTCAAGCAAAACATTTATTTCCTACGATGACTCGTTTCTTCTTATTGTTCTTCTTCTTCTTATAATTAGTACTTTAACAAGGGGTAATCAACTATATTCTATGTGCCGAAACACAGCATGGCACACTGTTTGTCCCGTTGAGGCACACTTTGACAAGTAGAACACAAATAATATAAAATAAAACGGCATCAGCATGCACTTCTTATTTTTTAACTAAACATTTTGTACTGTCGTGGGTATCCAATTTCGTGGGTATTTCCAATTACAATAAAGTTTCAGAGTAGGATCTTCTGTTAGAAGTGAGCTACATTAACAATTTTCTGATGCATAATGAACAATAAAGTGAAACTAATGTTCTGCCCGACAACAACTCAGCAGCACGAGACTTCTTGAACTGTGTCTCAGAGTCGGCGCACTACTGGGCAAACTGGAGGGGCTACGCGGACGAAAAAGCACTCAAGCTTTCAATTAAACTGAAGCACAGCGCGGATCAATTTAAACATTGTATTTTCTCCAATTAACGATAGTGTGGATTGTGTGGTGTTGTGTTCGATTTTCTTGGCACATACCCTTGATGACGATGGTGACTACAACGACTGCAGACCAGCGAGCGCTCGCTGTGGTTCCGGAATGATCCTTAAAGGCCGGACTTGTCGACAAGATGGTGGTACCACCGCTCGGTGAAATTCCGGTACAATTCCGACAATGGCGGACGAAGCGAGGCTGTCCGAACGCCGGCTGTAGTGCGATGGCGGGTTGGTTTTACCGGGGCTGGTATAGCGGTTTGTGGAGATGGTTCCGATGCACAGGCGCTTCCTTCTGACGAAGCCGGTCGACGACGACAAAGCCGCCCTCTGTCGAACCGGGAAGAGAAATTCTCCTTGGCGTTTAGGGCCTTCAGCCCGAGAACGATGTCCTTTACGTTTAGGTCAAGGTAACTAAATGTCACCTAGACCGTAGCGTGCAATGGCGGTCCTTGACTCGCCAACCAGAAAACCATTTGATTGGTTGAAAAGAAAGGTCCTGAATCAGCTGAATTGGTGATTTACTCTTCACCTTGATTCACTACTCGCACTGTATTCTGTTAAAGTGTACTTCACAGACACTTCTGGTCTACACGCTCCCCTGAGATAAAGTGAACGATGTCCGTTCTCTAAGCATCGCAGAACCCTTCAGCGCATCACCCGTGACTCCGTGTCACCATTTTGCCGCGGCCATGCGCGCCTTATTCAGCAGTCGGCCGTTAAGCATGGCCGTATAGTCTGCCCAGTGGGTTTCACCGCAAGTGTTACACAAATTTATTTGAATGCTCGATCACATGGTGCATATTTAAAATATTGTATTGGACCTTTGTAACAGAACGGTTACAAAAGGAGAACACAAGTTTATCATAGGGGAGCCGACCAGATTCGAATCCCGGTCTTGCCGAGGATCCTCTGGGATGGCCCTGAATTTTTGCTTGGATATTCTTCTCAGTCATTCGTCTCATTTAGGATGGACTTCAATGGGATATTCACAGGACTTTATAGGGATGTCTATAGAAATATGAAAGGAGTCTCAGCATAGATGGGGGATGTCAATACGTTTTAATCTCAAATACATAAGCTCTTGAATCACGAATCGCCCACGTTCATCATCTGTGGATTGTGGATTGTGTGGATTGAGCGGAAAGTTCTCGAGTTCTATACAGACCTGGAAAAAGCGCTTCCGCAGAAATCTGCGCTAACCAAACATCCTATTTTCAATGACAGATCTTAAGGGGAGATGTTTGATAATTTCCCCCGATGGTACATTACGGTAGGAACCACAACTGCATCAGACCGTAGCTTGGTAGGCTTGAACGGTTGGTGGTGTGTAATTAATAGAAGAAAGCATCATAATCAGCGATACGATAGGCTTGGGTGATATCTTGAAGGACACACACTTTTGAGTCGATCAGATTATTTAAAACTGGTTCGACGATGTTGCTCCTAGGGTGAGATTGAACTCTCGGACGCTCAGGTTCTGATTTTACTTTATTTGGGGAGGATTTAAAAGGCAGAAATTCATCTTTTCACCTTTGTTTCTGTACACCTGCAAGAAATATACAGTTCAAAGGGACATCGAGCCAAAATCTTGTGGACGGGTTGAATTTGCTTCAACGTATAGGTTTTATGACTTCCAGTTTCTCTTCCACCACCCGCTATAATGAGAATGAAGGTGAATGTTTGCATGATCTGAGAAATTGATAAACATAATCACAAAAGTCATAGCATTCAGGGTTGCCAAACTCATGGAATATTGACACTTTGATAGGTACACTTTTATTGACCTTGATAGGCACGGCTTTCGGCACACCTCAATCACTCGGCACGAATGAAGGTGTGCAGAGTTGAGTAGCCCTAGTATTACAAGCTTATTGCATATCACATATGGGCTTATTGTTTGCTCTCAACTTAGTGTTCTAAAAACTCTTTCACCGTTATTAATCTGCTTGGAAGTCGATTTGGAGAAACTTGGTTCTGCCACCATGGCACCTAAGCGCAAAAGAAAAGGGCAATCTCTTGATCCCCCTTCTGATGAGATTCAATTGAGCAATCAATTTGATATGCTCACGAATGATCCATCATCCAGGCAAAATTCCATTAAACATTCCCGGCTTAATGCCAAAAAGGAAAAGGTCCCCCTATTTTTGTAACCACTTCTGATTTCCATGCTCTTTGCAAGGAACTATTGAACTTTGTTCAATTTAAGTTTTCACTTCAAATTGGCCGTCGGGGTGAATGCCGTGTATTGGTTGAAACCTTGGACGGATTCAAACGTCTTCTCAAGTACCTTACTGAGCAGTAACACACATTTTTTTACTTATGACACCAAAACTGAACGTCTGTTCATGGTTGTCTTGAAAAGTTTGCCCAGTGGTAATCCCTGGATCAAATGAAAGATGAATTGACTTAATTACTTGGAGTTGAGCCTGTCCAAGTGATCAAAATTAAAATCCCTTCCTGGCGATTCACGCAACGGGACCAACAATGATTAGGTCAATTCAAGTCTAGTGAACTAAACAACCTTAAGGCCTTAGAAAAAAAAGTGAAGTGGGAACGCTTCAGGCAGACTGGAGAAAAATGTCCAAAACCTCTCCCAGTGCCGTAAGTGCCAGGGATGGGGTCACGGAACCAAAAATTGCTACATGTCTGCTAAATGCATGAATTGTGGTGATTCCTCTCACGCTAAAGACGACTGTCCAGTGAAGGAAGATCCTAAAAAATTTAATTGTTCAAAATGTGGTAAAACCCACAAATCCAATTGTTGGGAATGTAACACACGCAAAGCAATCTCGTTCTAAGTGACAGGTAGGACACGCTCTACGTTCCCGAAATGGTTCATATTCCTCTGCTGATCAACTGACTTGATCAATTGACTTGCCCTGTCTAAACCCAGCTTTAGTTTTTTTCTACCGAGCTCGGCTGTGCAAATCTCGGCAAAAAAAAATTATACTGAGATCTCCCGTCCGAGACATGGCAATGGCCAAAGCGAATTTGTTTTGCGCGTGCTTTTTAAAATTCCCAAGCTGTGAACAAACTAATGTTTAACGATAACATCAAAATTTCAACCAGTGCAAAACAGCAAAATCCCGTAATATATCTTACAAAGTCTTCACCGGAGGCTATGATTCCGGATCTCCGGCTTTCGGGTTTCAACTGTAAACGATACCGGTCTGATGTGCGGCTAGAAAAACAAGAATCCTTTTTCAGGACTGTCCTGCACGTGGGCATAACTGACTGACTGGCAAACACCACCAGACGGACGACACCGGTAGCGACGAACGACCACCACCGCAAAAAGACATTCTTTCTTGGAAGCTCAACCCACTCCAGTGAGGCTTGTGCTGCTGCTACCATCATCGGCACTGGTTGCTACTGTATGGCGTGCCCGCGTAGCATTGCTGGTATGCTTTCCATCTGTATTTGCTTGTTATTTTTTAACCGGTCGATCGGAAGGGAACAGTCGAACTGTGCAGTGCTGGTTATGCCGGTAGTTACTCTAAGAAGAGAAACCCCAGTCAGATCGAAAAGTATATAGATGCTGACTGAAATCCAATTTCCGGCTGTACATATTCATTCTATTCTGGCGATTGGTATGGTTTTCACTGATTTCCTTCTCTTGGGTCGAATGTTTTATTTTGCTACTGCTACTCATACGGAAGTCCAGACAATGGTTAAACACCATTAGCTTTGATTGAAACGGATAGAACTCACTGTTTTGAGAGTGTAAACGGTGCAGTACAATTGTGTGGAGAAACCTTTTAACTGAATTAACTTTGTTTTAATCTGTGCTAAGTTGAAACATTTCAATGAAAATGTATTCAGTTGTACCATTTTTGTATGGGTATTCAAATCCAGCATTATTCCATTAATATGTTACCTGTGTAATCCGTTATCCCATCAAATCTTTCACAAGCTGAGTAATACTCCAAAATACGATATTAATTCTCTCTAACAGCTCTCCCCAATGGAGTGACCTATGAACCAGCTTTAAACGAAGTCAACGTACCCATACTGAGTCGTGACCAGTGCATCGAATGGCTGGAGAATCTGAACGTAACGGAGGGAATGATCTGCGCCGGCTACCAGGACGGAGGGCGAGATGCATGCCAGGTAATTGAAAATTAAAATCCTTTTATCGATGAACAGTAGAAAAAAAAAACGCAAATCACTGCAACAAACGTTAATCTTAATTTAAAGGGTGACTCTGGTGGACCGCTGCTGTGTCCGTATCCGACCGAGAAGGACCGCTGGTACGTTGGTGGTATCGTTTCGTGGGGTGTCCGCTGTGCCTCGCCCAAACTGCCCGGGGTGTATGCCAACGTGCCGAAATTCATTCCTTGGATATTGGCACAGATCAACAACCACTCGGTGCTGCAGACAGACACAATTGGCCGATAATTGGGAATCATTTGACGGTATCGATTTTCGGTTTACGCCTCGGAACGAGTTGAAAAGGGAACCACCGGTGGACAACGAATCAATGATGAGTTATGGGCCGATAAGCTTCTCGTCTGACGGGGCAGGCCATCGAACAACGTACAGGTGATATACATAATCAGCTAGGATGCGTTCACATTATATATCGTGGTAATCAATTACGCTAGCCCCGTATCAGTATAGTTAGAGATGCATTATGACAATAAGGAGCTCCGATTGATAAACATATCGATTACGGAGGTGAGAGAGGTGCGGGTGGTTAATTTGTTGAATATATCGGATGCGAATGTAAATGATGACAATAATACCAGCTTCAACTATTTGGATGAATATTTTCAAAACATAAAAGGTTTTCAAAAATGCCATCATTCATCTTACAGTACATTTGAACACATTAAAAAAAATCACTCGTTACGAACACCTGTAGGCAGTTACACCGACTATGAGCTTTTTAATGAATTCCAGCTTCGGCCAGCAATAAAAAAAAATATTCCTTTGAAATCAACGCAACTGTTAGTGACGAGAAGTTCAACCATGATTCTTCCATCCTTTTCCCATACATGCATACTCAAATCTATAAAGACTCATGTAATAGATGTGCGGATATGTGCAAAGTGTTGTATCCAAACGAGCATTTCCATACGATTTGACAGTCCATTAACATCAGCTGACATCCGTACATCTATTATTTACCCAACTCCCGGAGGTATGAACAGGAAAACACGACAGATGGAATGAAAGAACCAGTAGCGGTAGAAAAACAAATTGGTGTGGTGGTGGAATCACCTTTCAAACACCACCCCCGCAAAAGTTGAATCAAGGGAAAAGCGAAAACGATAGGGCTCATGATGTCACCGTGATGGAACGAAACAACGAGCGAACACGATTTCCAATAAAGACAAGTAGAACGCTCTATTTATCTTTTCACTTGGCTTTCCCACACGTGATGCCTGCCGAGAACGGCAGATGCACGATTTAAACACGAATGATTTGCAGTGTTTAATGAGTTGCATTGTCTGACTTTGAGCGTGATAGTGGTGAAACCATTATTAACCTGCAACCACTTTGCCATAAGCATTTGAAGTTCCATACCGGTTCCACTGTCACAGTCAGGCCTTGTCTGCGCGGGGTGGGAGGTGACACGCTGTCAATTGTGAAGTGACAATTGTCACTTCTAAATACTCAGGATCTTGAGATACAGCAGTACGTACATAATGTTTGCTTGCTCACTAGTGCCACCTAGTTGCAGAATTCAAAATTGATATATCCACCACCCAAAAGCCCTTGACATTCTGATCGACTTTGCCGAAGACATCACCCTTCTATATCATCAGGATCTAGAAGTGTAGCAGTACAACATATTTGCATGCTCACTAGCTCTGCCTAGTGGCAGAATTATGAATTGATATGTCCACTTCCCAGCAGTCTTTGGCCTCTTGGACAACTTTACCGAAGACATCACCTGTCTAAATAATCAGGATCATGAGATACAGCAGAAGGCAATAAAAAATGTGGCAGAATTCCGACATGATATGTCAACTTCCCAGCAGCCCTTGACCTCCTGATCAACTTTACGCAAAACGTTATCCTTCTATATAATCTGCATCTGGAGATACAGCAGTATAAAATATTTCCATGCTCACCACCACCGCCTAGCCGAATTCTTAGTTGATCTGTCCACGTTCCAGCCTCGTGATCAACTTTGCACAAGAAGCTATCCGTCGACATAATCTAGATACAGCAGTTCCGAATATGTACATGTGGGATGCTCAGTAGCTCTGCTTAGCGACATATTTCCGATCCCCTACACGAACTCGTATCGCTCTGCAACAACCAATTTATTATGCTATACCAATGTGGAATACCGGAATAAAGTAGATTCTGTAAACATCGATTTTTCGAAAGCGTTCGACGCTATTCCGCACATCTTTGCGGTGGATATGCTGAGACATATGGGTTTTCCTGATTAGAGAGCCGACTGCCCAACAAACATTGAATGTTAAATACGAGCTTATTCAGGCAAAAATAAGCTTCTTAAACTAAAAAGTGGCTTATTCAGCTGTTGATCAACTCAAATTGTTTGTTGGGTGGCTAAGGTCATACTTGACCGGTAAGAAAGCATTCGTTCAGGTGAACACTGGACGTTCGAGGACATTGTGGTAGTGGTAAGCGTGATTACCTCTCACCCCAGCAGGCCTGGGTTCAATTCCAGTCGGCGCCGCCGGGATGTTCTGAGGCATAACATCTCTGATCACGCCTTCCTTCGGATGGGAAGTAAAGCCGTTGGTCCCCGGTTCATGAGTTGATGGGTCGATAGGTAGGGTCCAGGTGTGCGAGCTGCCTTCCTGGCACGTCGGTAGCATTGGTGCTCAGCACGGAAAACAAGATCGACGGAAAAAACAAACCAAAGGAAAAAAAAAAAAGAAGTGTATATTGGACTGTATTGGTTTGCAGGCAGACATCGATGTCCTTCACGATGGGGCAAAGAAAACGGAATGTGTATGTAGTGAACATTAATAAATGCAAAGTGATCACTTTTAGCCGCTGCTATCTGCCGGTTAATCACCTTTACAAAATTGACGCCAGTGCTGCAAAATCTCGACAATACATGGCGAAATTCTGCTTTGGTCACTCATTTGAGCTAACAGTCATCGTCAAGGCAAACCATGTCAATTGTCAGTGACGAACTTGTGCAGATTTTTTATTAGCTAAATTTGAATCGAAATTAAATGACTTGAGCAAAACAATTACATGGATTGAACAAGCATCTACGTACTGAACTGCTTGGGTAACAATAATGTGACTCAGAATACACGAAATTACACTTTTTGTTACCAGGTGAATCCATTTCATTGACAAAAAAAAAATGAAATTGATTTTGAAAAAGATTTTTTCGAGGATCAAGTCTCTCAGTGACTATGTGAAAAACATTTTTTTTTTTCAATATCGCGCGAAAGTCTGTCAATGACAAATCTGATTGACGCTACTTCGTTGGACCACCGCAATGCATCACAATTCACCGACGTATATGCGCTAAAAGCATTGTTCTGTGTTTTCTGTGGCTAGAATACGCTTCTCCAATTTGGGCCCCAACAATACTTCTCAGTTTATTCGTATTGAGCGTGTGCAGAAATCTTTCATTCGCTTTGCTCTTCGGCATCTACTATGGAATGATCCTGTTCATCTCCCCGATTATCCGGAACAATGTCGACTAATTGATTAGGAACTACTCCCGACAAGACGGTTGGAATTGCAACGGCTGGTTGTATTTGACATGATCAAGAATAACGTGGATTGCTCGAACCTTCTCCTGCAAATACCTCTGAACGTTCCTCAGCGTCAGTTGCAGCACTCTGCACTCATTGCTGTTCCAGGCATAGCACGTGTTATGGCTATAACAATCCTCTCAGTTCCTGCATCAGAGCCTTCAACACCGTCTACGATGTTTTCGATTGTTTTGTGTCAAATGCTAACCGCTGAACCTTGAATGTACGTAGTCCTGCTCGTTTCTTGGCTTTCTGCACGAAACTTTTTGACAGGAGCCGTTTTTTTTCGCAACATCCCGAACGGAATAGTTGGGTTTGCATTTGAAGGCAGCAACCACTCGCTTGTGATCTTCAACGCAGTACGGAACACTTTTTCTTGCACTCACTTACTTCCGATCGACAGTTAAACGTTTTCCGAAACGCTTCATGACACAGTAGTAGATTGTTGGATTCCCAACATCTTTCCGATGGCTCGTTGCGAAAGATGTGGGTTGTTGAAAAATTTTCTCACGCACGCACGGTTTCTTTATTTTCAAAACTACTAAAAATTGCACAGTTAAGCTCACGCAGTGTAAACAATACAAGCTGAGGCCATCTCAACCCAAAATTTAATTAGAATTAACCCAAAGGGCAAAATTTTACAGCTTTTTTTAAAGTGATGCAATTTAACTGTGGACACCCTTTAAGGTATTAGGATGCAAATTTCGTCCTTTTCTTCTTTTTTAATCAACTCCAGAATAAAACCTGACTGGTTTCAACTCTTGACAAAATATACAGTTAATATGATGCAGGCCTTTGATCATCTGATGGTCTCTGGAAAAAATCTGATCAACCTGCTATTTATGATACGAGAATATCTAACAGGCATGATTTATTGATCAGTATAACAAGGTCTTTGGAATAATATCTGAGCCACCTGCAATGATATGAGGGAATATCTGAGAAAAGAGATTTGAATTTTCGGATAGCTGGATATCTTCAGGTATCATACCTGATCATTCTGATGTCTTTGAAAAATATTTAGAGGAATTTATGGAGGCCTCTGATCACCTGATCTTTGGAATATCTTCTGAGTAACCTGGTATTATGAGAGAATATCTGAAAGACGTGATTTGAATTGTTGAACAGTTGATTTTGTAGAATTTTTATACAACAACGGACCCCAGTTAACGATAGCAAGGATCTGTGTTCCAGGTACCATTCTGGATGTGGCCAAAATTTGACATGTGCCAAAATCTATCATGCGAAACCACATTGGCTAGAACTGGTCATGTTCCAGTGGCTAAAATCTGACAACTCAAATCCCATGAGACAACAAGATCAATGGTTATGTTGTTTAAATGATTATGTTATATTACAAGTTCAGGAAGTTTTCTCTGCTTGCAAACTAAACAAAAACGCCTCTTCATTCACGCCTCTTCGCCGCCGCGAATAAATTGTGCCAGTAGGGGAGCATTTACGATGGTGGCTATCAAAATAGCACAGTTTAAACTTCAATTCAATCCAGAATATTGTATAACTGTATAAGCGACTTGTTACAGAAAACAACAATTTTTAAATTGGTGCCAAAAACATCCTTGGACTGGTGTTTTTTTACAGTAATTATAATTATCGTGAAATAACCATGGATGGATTTACTACAACATTCTTTAGGGAGTCTAACCACTTGCCCAGGGATACCTGCAACATGTCTGTGATATATTATAGTCTTTGGATACATACTAACCTGAACACGTTCTGTCCATATCTCCACAACGCAACCAGTTGACCGATTCATAAAATCTACACACTTAAATTTTTTCGCCGAGATTCCAACAGCCGAGTAGTTCTGCAATTTATTTTGCTGAGATTTAGTAAAACAATTGCCGAGACTCAGCTAACAAATATCATTTTTCTGAGAAATCAGCTAACAAACAGATATTTTGCAGATATATCAGCGAAAGTAAATTCCGAGGTAATCGGCTGTTGGAGATTTTACCGAGCTAGATTAAGTGTGTAGTCTATAGTACATATACCATTAATTTGGTCCTTATTGTATAATTATGTGCAGTGGATGGTAAGAAACACGTCTTCTAACATTTTAAAGTACGAAACCATGCCGGCGTATCAAAAATTTTAGCGACGGCATTTTAGAAATCGGCGGTAGTGGCGTGTGAAAAGTGCCAGCGGCGGCGGCGTGGCACGGCGGCGCACAGTTCTAGATATACTTCTATTTCCCCTTCTCCATCATCTTTCGTCTTCTAGGTTTTTTACGCTTCGAGCGTTTTGTCGGCTCTCACAACTTGGTGTTCATGAAGCACTTCCGTCCTACAGTTATTAATTGAGAGCCTCAGTTTGTTTATAAAGACTGTCCTCGAAAAAATGCAACAGATAAAAATGATCACATAAAATTCATTTAAGTCGGATATTTTTGAAGCTCGCAGGGAATAAATAAACACATATTACCTATGTTTTTGCAAAGTTGGTTTATTCAACCTCCTCTCCTCAACCTCCTTAATGCCCGCATCTTGGACTTAAAGCTACGAATCAAATCCTTTGCAACACTTGCGCCATCTTCCTTACACACTTTCATCCACTCTTTCTTCAAATCCTTGTCGTTTTTGAAGACCTTCCCTGTTTTTCGGAGCTCGCCCAGAATTTTTCTATTGTGTGAAGTTCTGGCGACTTTGGTTGATTTGCCTCCTTCGGTACAAAAACAACATCGTTGGCTTCGTACAACTTCATCACCGGTTTCACGTAATGGCACGATGCTACATGCGGCCAAAATAGAGTGTCACCTTCGTGGGACCGGAGAAAGGACAGTAGGCGCTTCTGCAGGCATTCTTCTTTATATATTTGGCCGTTGTCATTATGTACGGTTTGCTGAATTTGCCGCACCCACAGATCGCCTTCCACACTAAGCAAACTTGTCGACCGGAACTTCTCCGGAACATCCAGGCGAGACTTGCCGGGGATCTTTCCCAAACAACCAGAAGTCATATAACAATGTACAGACAGTGTCGTAAATTGCTACAGTTTAAGTCTAAATTGCATATAAGAATGGCATACCTCGTATTATGTTTAAGTAAAATCGTATAGAATGCAAATTTCCAACTTAAATGCGATGACTCATTTTTCCGTCGTACTGTATCACAAATTAAATCGGATTTCATCGTAAGACTTTTCAGAATGAATTTGTTATTACAGATCAAATCGTATATGATGTTGAATCAACTCGTTTAAAATTAAATTGAAATATGCACGTATATAGCCTCCACTTTTGTACGTATAAGCCATTTTTTTGCATTCTATACGAATTATTTGTTTTTTTTTATATATGTTTGTACATCACGAAAATAACTTTGAATATACGTGAATTCTGGTTGTCTGAGTTTTGGCGTCGACTTTAATGTACATCTCGTCGTCCATTACGATTCATTTCAGCTGCACCAACCACTCGCGATACAGCTTCCTGGCGCGGGATTTGGCCACCGTATTATGTTTATCGGTTCGGTGAGGTGCCTTCCTTACCTTGAAGATATGAAGTCCGGCCCGCTTGATTATCTGCTGAACGAACCAGACGGAAGAATTGACCTTCTTGGCCACGTCTCGAATCGAAAGATTCGGATTACATTGAAGTCATCCCTCACCTTCCTTCCGTTCACGGGGTCGGTCGTCTTGACTTTATTTCCGTTGCCAGCTCGCCGATGGGATTCCTTGAACGATTGTACCACACGGGACACGGTCGAATTGTTGATTCCAAACTGTTTCGCGATCCATCTGTAGGACTAGCCTGAATTTTCCACGATAGCTCCCATATTTTTTTGTCGAAGCATTTCTTGCTTGAAAGCCATCTCGATAACCACTTGACAGATTGTGACAAGATTTGCACATGTAAACATACCATGCCTTTACTGACTAGGCTATCTGAGGCCCCTTCTTCATCATTCATCCAACGTTTCCCTTCATACCTGAACACACAAGCAATTTTTCCTCTTATATTGGCCACCGTGAAGTTATAATGCTTCTCACTAAGGCGACTCTATAGTAGGAGTGCATCGTGTGAATTTCCACTCTGATGGGTTAAGAAAGGAAAGCAAACTTGATACTATCCGCATCAAAAAGTACCAGTAGGATACGAAACTAATATTCCGGAAGCCATGAATTAAAAGACCTCCTTCCTGTCCAAGCAGAGGGGTGTGTCACTTTCAACATACACACACACAGAGACATTGCATTATTGCCAGTCAATTGACGACCATCATACAATGTCTCGTCTACCTACTCATCCCATTGACCGTGGGCCACGTGTTTACACTTGTCCAGCTTCTCAGATAAAAGCTTTCCATTTACCATTTTTATTTTCTTCAATTCATCTGCGTAAAGCTCTTTTGAAAACCAAAAAAAAATTGAAGATGAATTTTCTGAACTACTGGTACGACTTACATTCTCCTGAGAGAAGTGGAATTAGTGCGATGAAAAAACAATATCTTGTCATTTACAGAGTGATTTATGGTGGAACAAATGCTGGCTGAAGCTGTCAAATCATTACTACGCCTAATAAACAAATGAGCTTTTGTCAAAGAAATAGGTAATTTCATTAGAAACATATCATCTGCAATGAATAATATCAACAATTTTGACACACAAATTTAGAAAACCAAACAAAGGACATTTGATTACAATTTTGAATGATGAGCGGCATAAATTGACAATAATCAATTACTAAATGGAAAAGAGTGATTTTAATTCGAATTGTTAGCTAAACGGAGTGAACTTAAACATTTGGTTTGCATTTAGTTTAAATAAAAGTTGAATGTGTTTGCCTCTGCTACCGAAAGGAAACTAATGACAATAAACAAACCGAGCACAAACGTTGAAACGAAGCACATTTTACTCGAAATGTAATAGAATATTTTTGCAAAGGATGGATGCTATACCGACTAGGAAACGAACGGGATATCAGAAGGACGGCCGGCCCGATCCAAGATGCCAAGGAGCGTGAAAAGAAACTTACAATTAACAGAATATTACATAAGCTAGGAAAAGTGTGTGATTTTAAATAAGCACTAGGAAGTTGGAAATGATAAACAAGGGGAGCGATGTTTTATAGAGAAAAGATGACATATTTTATTAGGGTGAGAAACATGATTGACTAGTTGCGAGAATATGCTACTGTTTCAGTAAGTTTATGAATGCCGTTGTGTCAACTTAGAGTAGATTGATTTAATGGAACGCTTATTAGTTGGTCGTTGTATCGTGCAAAATGATTTTTGTGTGCCCCATGTGAGCAAACGCTTTTGAACTTTTTAACGACAATAATTTAATTTGGAACCCAAGTGTTGTGCAGCAACTTTATACAAATAAAGCACCTTTTCTTGAAAGGGACAAGCATCAATGAATGATTTCAATGTTAGAAAGGAGAGAAACTAATATTAACTATGCACTATATCAGACAAGTGTGATTTACTATGAAAATTTATACAAACTAAATGATAGATGACCTACTATCTTTTGTATTAGTAAACCTTTATAGTACACAACCATGGAAGACAGTAGAGCTGCGTAGTTCTTAGATTCCTTCTGCTAGTGGCAAACAAACACTTTTTTTACATTGTTCCACATACATATATTCAAGTCAGTCACTTTGCACGGACAAAGACTATATAAATAATGAAAATATATCTTATGGAAAGAATCAGATAATTAATCATACCAGAAGAAACAAAACAATGAATGATAAGATCAACTAGTAAACTGCTGCATAATGAGCCTAAAACTATATACATATTACCAAACTGCAGAGTAATCATAACATAGACTAAGAGATGTTCAAACAGATACAGTATCTATGTTCTTGTAAAACTTAGCAAAGCATAAGCCAACAGTAAAGGGAAAAAAACCCTGCAAAGCCGTTTCGAAGAAGGGAAAACACTTGCAGAGCGTAGCACGTGTTATTTGTGGCATTAAGTTTTATACGTACGAGTGTTTTTTCCAGCAGAGTTCAAAACAAACCATAGCCAAACATCGTTGACAGAGCGCCAGCTTAAAGTGTTTTTAAAACAACAGAGAATGAGTTATGATTTTTATTTCTGAAATTGTTGAAGTATAAAAATCTAATTTCAATACAATATTCAATATTCTAAAACGCCAAACTTTAACGCAAACAGTACATAAAAAATAAAAATCAAATGAAGTAGAGCGGTGAGTGACAATAACAATACAATTGAACAGATTTTTGTTTGTAGAAGCCTACTAGTAGAACACTAACTGTCAATCAAATGAACGGTAGTGACGAATCCAAAGAATGGACACAGAGACAATGAATGTAGTAGAAATCCCTCAGAATCAGATTTTGCGTTTGAAATAAGCAAAAACAAACCCAATAGATATATGGAATCTTTTGTGTTTCGGGGTACGTAGTGAAAATCAGTGAGCAACACGTGAACACAGACTTGTGACAATAATTTCCCGTGAAAATATGCGTGGGTTTCAGCTTTAACTAAACCATAGGAGAAACGTAAATAAACGATAGGAAAATGAAGTTGAAAACTATTAATTGAAAATATTGAACAGAAGAAGATAAATCTAAAAAAAAATCACTGTTAGAGTTTTCAACAGCTGCAACCACAACCCTTAGTAGGAGTAGTCGGTGTTCTGGAATAAAAATACTAAAAAACGCAAAATTAATGGATTGGAGATACCGAGGAGGGCTGCGATGTCGAGTAATGATTGAAGTAAGTAATGTAAATGAATTCTTAAAATAGATATTTGATAGATAGAAGTATTTTAACCGCTGATGATGGGAAAATGGACTACTATGTAGATGGTGTACGAAATACGATTAATTGACAATCTAA